TTGATGTAATCTACATAACTTCCAACATGAATCTTTTCAAACTAATCCATCCCACCCAACACTTTTTCTGCATTTAAAAAAGTTTTAGTGCTTTTAAGTTTGGTGCTGGTCTCCCTCTTTTTTTTTTAAATGTAAGCCCATTATAGAGTATAAGTGTGCTTATCTACCTAGCTAGATTATAAACCATTAAAAAGTGTACCATCATCCTCCCTTGATTATTGTGGGCATTAACTATAACTGACTACCTACATATTCCTTAATGACAAGAATTGTGTGTTGTTGGGTTCACACCTATAAATGTAAGCTATAACAACAAATCAGCCTAATACTAATACATCTTATTTTTTCCTTCAGCTGTATTGAGATATAATTGACATATAACATTGTGTAAGTATAATATGTATAACATGTTTTGTTATACATATATGATTTTTGCCACAATAAGCTTAGTTAATAATCCCTTATTTAGCATTGTTCCATTGTTTTTCCTGTTGTGAGAACTTTTAAGATTTACTCTCTTAGCAACTTTCAAGTATACAATACAGTATTGCTAACTATAGTCACAACGGTGTACATTAGATCCCCAGAACTTATTCATCTCATAACTGGAAGTTTGTACCCATTGATCACTGTCACTCATTTGCTTGCCCCACCACTCACCCCTGACAACTACCAATCTACTTCCTATTTTTTTTTGTTATTTTTTATTTTAACAGGAATGTATGAAGCATATCACCCCTGACATACCTCTCTGTTGCTTTTTCTTTGAGTAAACTGTGTGTTTTCGTCTATTACTCTAAATTCTGAATTTAAAGAATAGTTTAGAATCAGTTTTCCGAAGTAATCACTAAGATTGTAGGAAAGATACTTTCAATGAAGGATTTCCAACTGGAATATTGCTGTGCTGCTAGAAACTTTTTAAAGGTAGCATAGTTATTCAAAACAGTCTGAAAAGAAATTATATTTTTTTCTATATCTTTGAAAGTTAACTTTGTTGCTTTTAAAACATAAAATGTTAATCTTCCATAGAAAATACACCTTAAGCCCTCTTCCCCAGTTTTGTTTGTTGTATGTTTATATTCTGTACTGTTCATGAATTGTCAGATACTCTTAGAAAATAAATTTGGAGAACCCTCCCCCCCCCAACTAATGGAAATTAATTGCTTTTTTAGTTAAGAGATATTTAGTTTAATAGAGTCTTTAATAGATTAATATTTTATTGATAGGGTTTTACTTCAATTTTCTCCTGTTGAAGCATTTTGTTTTTTATTGTGAGATGTTGAAAAATATGAAAATATTTTGAAATTTAATGTTTTATTGTACATATTTCTGTGTCTTATTATATATACATACCCTACCGTGAGGCAACCTTTTCATGAATAAGTTATTATAAGGAATCATAAACTACAGTTGAGTCAGAATACAAGTTCAGTTTCTTTGTACCTTCTTTGTACTCAGTCTCAGAGGTTCTTAGTGATCTTCTAAAGCTATGAGGACGTTTTCATACTCCAAGGGTATCAAACTATTTCTTGTTCTAAAGAAAGTTTTTAAATTTTTAAAGGAAATTTTTTTATAGACTTGAACATACTTCTGAAATAGTGTTACATGGCTCTGTAACTTTAGTTGTTAAATTTTAGTGGCTTCGGAGAGCATTTTTTTCTTGAGATTTTTGTGACTTCTGTTTCATTTTATTTGTTAGGCTATGAAACAAAGATATCTTTTAAAGAGCACGTCTTTGGTTTTTTATTGGGGGGAAGGGGTCTTGCATTAGTTTTCCCTGTCTGTGTAACAAGTTATCCCCAAATTTGGTGGCTTCCAACAGTAGTATTCATTATCTCACAGTTTCTGTGGGTCAGGCTTACCAGGTTTCTGCCTCTAGGTTTCTCACAAGGTTGTAATCAAGGTAGAGCTGTGGTTTAATCCCAAGACACAACTTGGGAGGATCTACTTCCCAGCTCACTCACCTGGTTCTTGGTACATTCATCTCATGGACTATTGGACTGCAGGCCTCAGTTCTTCACTGGCTATTGGCTGGAGGCCTCCCTCAGTTATCTGTCACATAGGCTTCTCCATAGAGCAGCTCACTACCTAACAGTTGGTTTCCATGCGAGCAAGCCAAATGAGAGAGCAAAAGAGAGAGTAGGCCAGATAGAAGCCAGTCCTTCCAAAACCTAAACTCAGGGTTGAAATCTCATCACTTGTCAAATGCTGTTTATTAAAAATGCGTCACTAGGTCCACACTCAAGGGTGGAGGATTACCCATGGGTGTGAATATCAGGAGGTGGGATTCATTGGAGGCCATCTTAGGGGCAACCTACCATGAATTCTGAAAATTTTTACTTGATTCATGCTTGCTAGGTAAACTTCATGCATAAAAAATCCTTATCACACCTTCCCTCACCCCCACCTCTACATGTGCAGAGAGATACACGAAAGAATGCACATACTTTTTTATGATGGTTTTACTCTTTATTCCCTTATAACTGGAACCAACTTCCAATACCATTCTGGGTTTCAGATTTGGAGCTATCTTCAGGTTTATCAAGAAGTGAGCAATAAATATTTGTCGAATATTTTAGTAAATATTTGTTGAAGGAATGAATGAATGTATAAATGAGAAATTGGTGGTCATTTTAATTCTACCTGGAGAGTTTTACAGAAGAAATGACTTTGACTTGTCCTATCAAAGGACAAATAAAGAAACAGATTTTTCAGGCCGAAGTAATAAGTACAGTCTCAAGATGTTATAAAACAGCAAGATGTGTCCTGGAAATGGCAAGAAGTCCAATACGAATGAGATGCTGGCATTTTTAAGAAAGAGAAAGGGTGCTGGGGACATGGGTCGGTTAGGTTGTTTTCCAGGTTAAGGGCTTGGGACCTAACTGAGCTAGTAGAGTTAGTGCTGTAGAAAAATAATCTCTGTGACTTACATGAAAAAAGGACTAGTGAGAACCTAAAGACCACCGTAGTCATGAAAGATGAGGCTGAATTAAGGCAGTAACAATATTTTGAAGAGATTCCAGAAACACTTGGCCTGTGGAGCATTAAGAATGTTAGAGACAGCTGTCCCCTAATAGACTTTCCTTTTCCTGTATAATAATTTATTTTTTTCTGAGACTAAATATTGTATTTACAACTCTCCTTTATATAACCCTCCGATTAAATTTTGGTCAGTGGGATGCAAGCAGAAGGATCTGCAACTTCCCAAATATTGCTCTTAAAGGACAGTGGTATACTTTTTGATTTTCTTTTCTGTTTCTCACTGGCTGGAGTTTAGAGCTGGTATTGGGCCATCTTGGACTATATAGACATGCAGGAGATTGCATAGCCTGAGGATGGCAGATAACAAGATGAAAGGAGCCTGGATCTCTGAGGGCTTTGTAGAGCAGAGCCTCCAGCTTCTACTTTTTTACATGAGAGAACTAAATTTTATCTGGGTTAAGCCATTATTATTTTGGGTTTCAATTATAGGAAGGCAAACCTAATTCCTAAATAATAACAGGTGTGATAAGATACAGAATTATGTAGGAATAAAGAATTACTGAAATGTCTAGTTTAGAGGACTGATTAAATCGTGACCTAATTAACTGGCATAAGACTTGAATGGGAAAATAGTTTGTTTCCTTTGGATATGCTAATTTGGAGAGGGACTCCATTATTTTCTCCGTTCCTATTTTCCTATGAGCCCAGCTTTGACTTTGTTTGGTTCACTGCCCACTCTGTAATATGTGTAACTTCTACAGTCGAGCTGCCATTAACATGCTATGTTTTCTTCTGCCTCCCCCTCTTAACTTTCTTAACTATAACAAATTTCCAACTTTGTGTCCTCTCACTATCTGCATTCTCTGTGTCCACGTTGAAGGTGGAGCCGTTGAAGAGCTGTGTTTATTGACCCTTTCTGTTTATTTTCTTACCTTATGTGGAGAGTAGTTCTGAATATATTTTTTCTGTTATTACCATGGAAACAAAGACTTTGAATTATTTAAAAGGTCTGGCTTATCTCCTGACTCCTACTATATAGCGTTTCTGGCTCAGTTTTTCTGTTATATTGCTGTTTTTAAAATTTATTTCCGAAGAAATTTTTTTTTTTGACAGAAATCACTTATGTATCTGACATATATGTCATATGTTTTCTTACATTTTAGCCTAAAGCACCAAAGGGAAAAAATGCAGGACGGGAAAAAAAAGTCATCCATCCGTATAGTAGAAAAGCAGCTCAAATTACAAGAGAGACCCACAAACAAGAAAAAAAGGAAAAGTAGGTGTCTTTTTATCATTTGTATTGTGCATTTCTCCCTCATCAATATTCCTCGTCTTCCTTTAATGAATGTGTTAAGTATCTTCTATGCATCGAAGGTAAAACTGAACATGAATTCAGCTCTGATAGAGCTTACCTGTAAGAGATACATAAATTTAAATAGGTTATGATGAGTGCAGTGAAGAAAAACTAAAAAGGACTATGGGATGGAGAGTGAGGGAGAAGTTCTATTTTACATTGGGTAGTCATGGAAGTCTTCTCTGAAGAATTTGTATTGTGCATTGGTGAAAAACAGAACTAAAAGATGTGAGGAAGTGAGCTAAGCACATATATATATTGGGTATATAGGTTAAAATACATATTAGACATATAAAAAGAGATATTGAATGAGCAGCTGGATGTGTTTAGTGTTCAGAGGCCTAGGATGGGGATGTAGACACGAATTTGGGAGCCATCAGCATCGACATAAGACTGCAAGCCATGAGACTATGTTAGGTCACCTAATGAGTAAGTGTGGATAAGGGTTAGAAGGGAGCCAAGGATTGAGTCCAGAGGCCCTTCACCATTGAGAGATTAGAAAAAGGAGGATCCAACAAGTGAGACTGAGAAGGAAGAAAAAAACATAGTGTTTCAGAGAGAAGGTGATGATCGACCTATGTCATTTGCTGTTGATTAATATGAGGACTGAGAATTGATTTAGTAATTTGATTTAGTAATATGGAAATAGTTTAGGAAAGTAGAGATCATTATTTTTTTGAGTTATTTCTTAGTTGCAGCTCTGGAGATTACGTCTTAAAACAATCTAATTGAGGTTAATGTCAAATTAATTTCAATAGTATGCAAAAATTCGCTCCACTATAGTTTCATTCCCATTCCTGCCTTTGTACTATTATTGCCATATAAATTACATCTTTATACATTTTAAGGCCATAAACACAGTTCATAATTATTGTTTTTTTGTCTTAAATGAGAAGAAAGGTGGTACAAACAAATATACATTTATACTATCTTCAGGTATGCTGTTTTGTTGTTGTTGTTTGCTTTGTGTCTTTTTCTGGACTGATTCTGTAAAGTCTGTTTGTTGTGTATGGCCATTGAAATTTCTGCTCAGTTAGTGGTCAGCTAACATCTAGACAAAGATTTTTCTGAATTCCTTTAACTAAGTTCTCTCAGCCTTTGTTGAGGGACTCTGTGCATCTGTTGGCCATGCCTTCAACACTCCAGTTGCAGTTTACTTAGACTTCGTTTCTTGTTTGCACAGAGCCTCAGGGTTTGGCAGAGGTGAGAGATTAGATGTTTCTCAGATCTTTTCTTGGCATGAACTAGTCCTAAATATGCACATGGCATTCTAGATTCCCGGGAATATGTTGGAACGAGCTTTTCAAAGCCCTCTATGGACCTTTCATTTCCCAGTTTTTCCTTTAAAATTTTTTGGTCAGGCTTTTGTAAGCCTCCAACTGGTAATATTATTCAGGTAGCCACAATCTTGGACAATTACTGCTGATTTTTTTCGAGAACAACGTGGGGATGGGGCTGTTCCTACAGAGAGAGCTCTGAGTCAAATTAAATAAAGACAAAGTAACCCCGAGAATAGAGCTTTTCAGTATGTTGCCTGCCACATCAAATGGTGTCAGTTTTTTGAGCGTCAGCATCACTGATCATGAATCATTTTTTATTTAAATGGGAGCATGGTCACAAATATCATCTTAAAATGCTGCTCATCTCCTGCACTAGAGCACCACTTCCAGGAAGATAGAAATGCTGAGTTGTATTTTTCAAAAGTTGGTTGGTGACAAGATACTCAGACTGTTGGGACAGCTGTAAGCAGGATGATAGAAAAGGTATTGATGGGACTTTAACTTGACTTTAAGGTGCCTGTGGCTTTTAAGAAATGAATAGCAGTTATCAAATACTGCTTTAATTACTGATTGCTGCATAAGAAATTATACCACACATCTTAAACAGCTTGAAATAAACACAGTTTCTCCATCAGTAATCTCAGTTGCTACTTAACTGGGTGCTTCTGGCTCAGAGCCTCTCACGGGGTTACAATCAAGATGATGTTTGGGGCTGCATTCATCTCAGAGGTTTTGCTTCCAAGCTTACTCACGTGGCTGTTGGCACGCTTCAAGTCATTGCTGGCAGTTAGCTGGAGACATAAGTTCCTTGTCACGTGAGCCTCTCTGTAGGGCTACTCATAACTCGACAGCTTGGTTCCTCCAGAGCAAAGGCTCAGAGAGAGCGAGAGGGGGTGACCAAGATAAAAGACCATCTTTGTAACCTAATTTAGGAATGATATCCATCACTGTTGTACTGTTTTATTTGTTAGAAGTGAGTCACTAGGTCCAGCCACACTCAAAGACATGACTATCAAGAAGCAAAGATCAGTGGAGACCATCATAGATACTACCACCTCTTGTTGCTGCCTACCAAAGATGCTTAGTTTTCTAAGGAACATAGGTAACCAGGAAGCTTGTATCCAGTCTCTCTACTTTTTTATGGAACCCAGGATTCTTTGTCCCACTTCGTAAGGCTTTTTTTTTTTTTTTTAGGGAGAAAGAGAGGTGGTGGTGTGGGGTGAGGAATGAGGGACATTACCCGTTAGGATGCAGTGCCTTTGGCCAGTGGTAGAGAATACGAATCCGCTAGGTTGATCAGATTGACTTTTACTGATGTCCTCTGACTACTAAAAGATAGTGCAAGAGTGAATAGCAACAGAGTAAGATTTCAAACATGTTCTTCATCCTTAGTATTTGAATGCTCTGATTTAGAACTATATGAAATATGGCTTCTGTTGATGTTAAAAGAAACTAGTATGGTTTGAAGACTAGCACATTTCAAGCAACGCAGAATTTATAGGCAGCAAATGGCTATTCTGTATCATGATTTTAGCTTTATTTTATGATTTTTTTAGCATAGCAACATTTCTCAGCATGATATTTGTGTAGACATGTTTTCATTTTTCTTTCAGTTCATAGAACTTGAATTGCTGGGTCATTGTAAGAAATTAAGTTTTTAAGAATTGCAGGTCATCTGAAAGGGATGATATTAAGTATTGCCTTTTCCAAAATGATCATACTATTCCAGTGTATAAGTGTTCATTTGCTCTGTATCCTCTGAGACACGTTGTATTATCAGTTTTTTTTTTTTTTTAAATTTCAGCCAATCTAGTAGGTGTATCGTAGTATTCAGTGTGGTTTCAATTTGCACACTTGTAATCTTGATGGCTGATGATGTCACATATCTTTCGATATGCTTATTGGTCATTTATATGCCTTTTGTTTGATGAAAAAATTGGTTAAAATCTTTTGTCCTTTTTGATATTAGGTTGTCTGTATATCATTAAGTAGGAAGAACTGTTTGTATATTCTTCATGTAAGTCTTTTTGTTTTTTGTTTTTTTTTTGTACTGTGAATATTTTCTCCCAAACTTTGGCTAAATTTTTTTTTTTTTTTTTTTTTTTTTATAAAAGAGGCTCATTTTATTCTCCAATTTTCTAATTGTTAAAAGTGGGAGAGTAAACCTGGTCTGCTTTGTTAGGGTGGGGACAGTGGATTTTTTGTTCATTTCTGTATCCCTAGTGGGTGGCGTCAAGTGTGGCAAAAACTATCCAGAGATCTCTTCTGAATGAATTAGTTCTAAATAAGTATCAACAAAAGAAGGCATATATTACTTAGACTGTTTTCTAAGAATAAATGAGTTCTTTTTTTTTTTATTATTATAATTCTTTTCAACTTTATGAAAAGTAAACATTCCGTTTTGTTCTTGTTGAAGTTTAAAAGTAATGTATTTTGGTTTTGGTGGCAGCACTCAATCTTCTAGAAGGTATTCATTATTCTTTTGTGCTCAGATATTCTGCATGTTACAAAACCCGCCTGAACATTCATAATGCAGTCAAACTTTTGTGTTTTCAAAACTGATTTGTTTTATAGGTGTCCTTTAGTCATTGAAGAGCTAAAAAAATGTTTCTAATAACATTTTGTTCTAGTGATTTCAAAGAGAAGCATGGTGTTCAGTGTTTCTGTATTAATATAATTATTTCATATGTATGAAAGAATGATCTTTGAATTAGGTTCTTTAGGCAGTTTTTCTTTTTGTTGTTTTGACAGATATTTAAAACTTGCTTTGGAAATCTTCTAATACATTACATACCTTTTCTTCCAAGGTTGAAGAATGAAAAGGCTTTGCGTCTCAACTTTATTGGTAAGTGGCTTTCCTTACTTATTTGATGTTCTGGCTAGAGTAGAGTGAAGTTCTGCCCTACACCTATTTTTCTTTTAACTTACCTGGTGAAATACTATTTTTATCTAAATGAATTTTTCTTTACCAAACTTGATTATAACAAAACAAAATAAAATCAATTATTAAGCTCTTAGAACAGTGTTAATAATGTCTAGCTCAGTTTTTCAAAAATTGTTTGGTTTATATTTACCTATCTACATCTATCTATCTATTTGTCTATCGATCTATATCTATCTATCTATCTATCTATCTATCTATCTATCTAATCATCTATTATCTATCTGTAGCTGAATTTAATTCTAGCCCCTTAACCATTAGAATTAAGGCTTAAGTAATTTGGAAACAGCAATTCATATGTAATTATGTGGACACATACACAATTTTTGTGGGGGAGAGGACATCAAATTTATCGTTAGTAAATTTTTACAGATAAGCCTGAGATTTCAAAATAGTGCTATTAGGCTTTATTTCTAATTAAAAATATTTGAACTTTTTAAAAATGCTTCATCAAGTAATGGAATAGTATTTCTAAATGGGTTATCAGTATCTGGGTAGGGCCGTTTCTTTATATCTAATACTGAGAAATCTCACTGAAAGTGACCCCAGTGGTTTGATTTACTTTTAACAGTGAGGTCTGTTAGTTCTTTGTGTCTGGCAGATGTTGTATGCTTAATGAATTTACTAATTTTGAAGCCCTGGACAGGTTATTTAACCTTTCTCATGTGTAAATGAGAATAATAATACTACTAATCCTCATAGGATTGTGAAGCTCTTGACACAGTGCCTGCTGCTTATTAAATGTTCAGCTTATTAATGATGAAAAGTACCATTTTCATCATTAATCTAATTGTTTTCATTTTATTTGATTTTAGATAAGTTCTATCCTTTACTTTTTAAATACTTAGAACTTCATGTTATATTAAAATATTCTCTTTTTTTAAAATTTTCACATCCTTATTGGTTAAATATACAGAAAAGCAACCCTCTCATTCCTGTCTCTTCTCCAAATTAAAATGTAACAATTTAATTTCTTACAGACTGGTTTAATTAGCTTTGAGCCCACACAAGTCTTTATATTTAGCATTGAAATAAATTTTGATACTGTTTTAAACATATCAATGTTGAAAATTATAATGAATACCTCTGCTTAAATGGTGACTTGTATTTATCTTGGTGCTTGTTGTTGTAGGTGAAAAACTGCAGTGGTTTCGAAATCACCTTGATCCCCAGAAAGCAGGATATTCAAAGAAGGATGCTTGTGAATTAATTGAAAGGTAAACACTGGACATGTTATGAACAGAGTCAGAAAAAGGAATCCTTTTTTCTGGTTCTTAAAGAGACAGAGTTCTCTTCTGGATTTATAGAAGGGCAGATGCCTTTGTTATTGAAAAGACTTTGGATTCATATCCTAGCCTCTTAACTTCAGTAGGTTGTAACTTTTCTGGGCCTCGAAGCGGTGGTTATTAAAGGTTCTTGGGATCTGGAAAAGCTTCTTGGGGAAATAGCATCTAAAATGACACCAGAAGGCTAGAGGTTAGCAGATTGAGGTAAGGTAGTTTGAAGAGCCTCTAGATAGAGCAAATCTAAAAGGCCTACAGGTGAGAGTGACATATATAGTGATCTAGCAAACATCTAATATGACTGAAATAACAGGTTCAAGGAGGGAATCATACAGGTATGGTAAGTGACAGTCAACTCATTGAAGACATCAGATATCATTTTAAGAATTTGGACTTTATCAAAGGACATTGGGAGCCATGGGAGGTTTTTATAGCAAGCACTTGAGGTGATCATATTTAAACTTTGGAAAGGTCATAGTAGCAAGAATGAGGATAATGGCCGAAAGGGGGCATGGCTCTGGCCAGGAGACTGTTGAGAGGCTGATGCAGTAATTCAGCTAAGAGATGGTGGTTGCCTCTGCTTGTTTAGTAGCAGTGTGATGAAGAGAAATGGATTACAGAGATATGAAGAAGGTAGAAGTCTCAATCTTTAGTGAAAAAGTAGATGTGGCATAAAAGGGAGAGAGAGGAATCAAGGAGGACACTTACATTCTTCATTTGAGTAACTGGATGAATGATCATACTATTTCCTAAGATATGGAGCCAAAGAAATAGAGTAGGTTTGGCAAGGGATGGATGGGGACAGGGATAAGGACATGTTCAGTTTTGATGTGTTAAGCCTCTACAGGATATCCAAATGGAGACGTTCAGAAAGTGGTTGCATATGAAGATCTGGAGTTTAACAGATACTTTAATAACAGGCAGTGATTTCGTTGGTAAAATTTTGAGAATGGTTGAGTTATCCAGGGAAGGGCTGAGGTCTGAGGACTTGAACTCAAAGGAATATAAAAATTCAAAGGACAGGCGAAAGCTAGGATTATGTTTAAATGAACTAATATCAGCCAAATATACAAACTTTGTGACTCGAATTATTTTCTTTCTTTTCAGGTATTTAAATCGATTCAGCAGTGAGCTGGAGCAGATTGAGTTACATAACAGCATCAAAGCCAGGCAGGGAAGGCGGCACTGTGCCCGGGAGACAGTCATCAAACAGACATTGGAGCGTGAGCGACAGCAGTATGAAGGATATGGCCTTGGTGTGTTTTCTTTCTTTCTTTCTAAATACAGAGCAATATCAGATTTGTGATTCATTTCAAAGGTTTATTATTCTACTAAGTTTTATTATTCTACTAAGTTTGATTTTCTTCCTTTGTTTTTCTTTCTTTTATGAGTATCTGGACTATTTTTAATTCTTTTTTTTTTCTACATCCCCAAACTTTCGATTGTGACAGTGACATCATATCTTTCTAATGTAAAAGTAAAGTTTTCCTGTCCCCTCTGGCGCATACCTATTTGCTTTATTATAGAGTTATTACTTGCCCATCTCCAGCTCCATTTGTTTCTTTAGAAGGTACATGTCCTTCTTGTCTTTATAATTCTTGTAGTACCAAACTATACTTGTTGCAGTTATTCTTGAGAAACTATCGAAATCAAATATTAATTCCTAGCATTGTCACATTTCTTACCTTTCCTAAAGGCAAATATGTTACTAGTTTACCAACACTGAAGAAAAACACTTAATGGGAGAGGGTATTTTAAAGGCATGCAAAGCCCCAAAATAGTTGAGGACCTAAAGGCTATATGGCCTACAAATGATATTTGATTGGCTTATTAATTGTCCTCATAAAAATACGTGATGATTTCATGTGAAAAAAATGTAGATTTCTGGCTTCTCTTAAAAAAAAATCAGTTGGTCTGGCAACATAATTTGCTAGATGTGCTAGACTCACCTTTCAATTAAAGGAAGCACTTTACAGCTTCTCTTTGGCATATCCGAATTGCCAGCATCACTGCTTGCGCTTTGGGGCCATTGTTAAGTAAAATAAGGGTGATTTGAACACAAGCACTGCAATACCACAACAGTGGATCTGATACCCAGGACAGTTACTAAGTGGCTAACAGGCAGGTGAGCCGATACTCTGAACAAAGTGGTGGTTCACGTCCTGGGCAGGGTGTTGTGAGATTTCATCACGCTACTCAGAAGGGTGTCAATGAATTGTTTATGTCTGGAATTTTCCATTTAATATTTTCGGAGTGCAGGTTATCTCAGATAACTGAAACCTCGGAAAGTGAAACTATAGATAAAGGGGGACTACTGTGGTTTTGTTTTGTTTTACAGATTCTATGCTAGAATTTATTATTTAATATCATTCTTCTTAAATCATCTTCTTAAACTAAGCCCTTTATACTTGCAAAACTTACTTTCATCTGGCATAACAATGCTTTGATATTTTGTTTTGCTTTGGATAGTCTTGCTGTCTGTCAATTATTATTTGTTGTATCTGAGATAATAAATGAAGAAACTAAAATGTTGTAATTTAGAAAACATTGCCTAATGAACATAAATTATTTTCTTTCTCAGAGATTCCAGATATTGTAAATGCTGGTAATCTGAAAACTTTTAGGTGAGTCTGTCATTTTTATTGTTCCGTGAAACTATGTGTAAAATATATGAGACATAAACTTTCTTCCTTTTTGAGTCTAGACATTACATCTGAAAGAAAATTGTTTTTTTAACCTTTTCTCTTTCATCAAAGTATAATTTTCCTAAATCGTGTTTATTTGAAACACCAGGTATACACTGAAATGATAGTGACGTGCTTTTATTTCAAAATATTTTAAAATACTTTAATATAGTACTTAAAAGAACATCTCACTATTCTTATTTTATAGAAAGACAAAATAACAGAAACAGATTTGATGGCTCAGAGTCACATTTCCAAACTGTTCACAGCACCCTCTTTTGGAGGAGTTGGTTAATGGGAATTGATACCAGGGGAAGGACTAAGTCATCCAGAAGCAGAGGGTCCTGTGGTCTCTCTAATAGTACTCTTTTTTGACCAGAGACACCACTGAATAGAATTTTAGTTTTTCAGTTTTCAAACATGGCTTCTTTGTCTTTAGAAAAATGATTTTTATTAAGCATTTTGGTCTTAACTATGCTGATAGGTTTGAAATGTTATGTTAATTGAAATTAGATAAATTTAAGTCCAATCATATTCTTTGAAATCTTTCAGCTTATTTTATATTTTTATATACTTCTGAATTCATAGAAAAATACTTAGTATTTAATATGTATAAAATATGAGCTCTAATAAAATTTATCACATGTAAGAAGTAGTTCACTTTTATAGTTTAGATACATAGAGCTTAAGATTCTTTTTATGCCTTTATTTATTTATTTATTCATTCATTCATTTATTTATTTATTTATTTATAATATTAATTAATTAGATATATGTATGCTCTTTATTTCTAAAACAATGTATGTTCTTCCCCCAAAGAAAGCCAGATATGAGAGAAGAAATTAGCAGAGACTATTAGTAATGCTGGTTGGAGTTCAGGTCTCAAAACAAACTTTACATTGCTCCTAAAGTAAATAAATGAACATAGGATTGTCACAATAAATGCCGAGGTTGAAAAATGAAGTTCTCTAATATAACCATAAAAGTTGTTTGATTATTGAAACTTACCTGTGACTTAGTACTATGTGTGAAAAGAAAACTTTTCTGACTATGCATTTTGGAGATTGACCAGGCATGACATCCTGATGAGATTCTTGATACCATAGGGCCTGATTGAGAGAAGTGTTTGGGTTAGGAAGGATAGAAGAATGGAACAGAGTCTCCTTGTAATTTCTACCTAATATTTTCCTGTATTGCTTTGGAAGTTTTGAATATGTGGGATTCTCTCTAATGCATTTATATTGTTTCTTTCTAGTGCATTTGAATCCGCTGTAAATTTATAAACTTTGTTCTGCTACTTTCAGAGTTTCGAATATTGATTTTTTCCTGTTTCCCCACCTCACACCCTGTCAACCTGCTATACTTTTTTTTTTTATCTAGGGAATGGGATTTTGATCTGAAGAAGTTGCCAAACATTAAAATGAGAAAAATATGTGCTAATGATGCAGTTCCCAAGAAGTGCAAGAAGAAAACTGTTACAGCTGTAGACAAAGAGTTAGGGGAATTGGAACTAAATGATGAATCAAGTGACTCAGATGAGGAAATGACTGCAGTGGCCTAATTGTCCTTGAGTTGAAAATAAATAGAGAGCTATTTATTCGAAGTTGCACTCGAATCGATTATGATAAATGTCTAGATACAAGAATTTGCTATTTAGCTTATTCTCTTACATGATGAGAATTCCATTTGCAGTTTCAAAAACAGTGTTATGATTTTTATTTAAAAATGAATGTTGCTTTTTATTTACATTAAATTGCTAAAAAAGATATAGTCATTTAAAAGAATGATCTTTAAGATTGATTTAATCTGAATTTCCAGAACAGGAGGTAGCGATATGAATAAAGAGAGAGAATGTTTTCATTTTTTTCTTCATGTTTCCTTGGGATCATGTAATCTCACATTTTGTGGTTTGGAAAGCAACCTGTTTTCTAAAAGGGTCCTATGGGTACTTCTTGAGCACTGATGATAGCAAAATTGTCTTTCAGTAATAATATTTTAGTAATCCCCTCTTAAACATTAAACTTGTCTTTCCTCATAAAATAGGGAGAATGTGATATGGAATTCATATAACTGATGGCTTTTGCATTATTTTTATTTATTATCTTTGAGCCACAGTTAAATGGTAAAAGAAGAAATGAAGTGACTATTCTTGCTATGTTGATCTGTTATCTTTGACAGAAGGGGACACATGATTTCAGGTTAGCTCTGTTTGTATTTTATTTTCTGCTTTCTCATTGTGAAAAGTGATATAGATTTTATCTGTGGGAACAGACCTAATGATTAGAGAACCAATTTTTTTTAATTGTGTTATTTTTTTCTTCTAAGAGATAAGTTAAATGACATATGACATAATTATTAGTATAAGTGTCATGAAAAACATGGATGTAGTAGAATGTTCTTCAAAGAACTTGTTAAGTGCAAGTATCTTTTAGTCTTTCTAAAAGATGCAATGCAAATGTATCTGAATATTTATAAGAAAAAAATGTTAATGCCATATGAGGTTACCTAGCTATCAATTAAATTTTGTTAACAATTTAAAGCGTTATGGCTTCTTTTTTTGAAAATAAAAAATAAAATTTATTTTCATAATTTCACTTCTTAAAGTTCTTATTTCATTTGCAGTGATGTAAATGATGCTGATTTGCTTTTCGCTTTAGTAATCTGAAAGTATGGTTTCATGGTTATGTAAGAAGTTCTATTTCTTCAGTCATTGGAAGATTTCTGTTTTTTTGGTCCTTATATAGTCTCAAAATTGTTATAAAAACTGAGTCCTAAATTACAGTAAAGAGAGTAATAACTATTCTTTTGTCTAATATTTAAAAAGCCATAATGTTAGATGAATGACTTGTGAAAATGGCATATCATCCTCCCCCTCAAACATTTGTTCCCAGTTTTCTCTATGCTCTCAAAGCAAAAAAATATAACAAGCCACAATGCTTAGAACTGGAACAGATAAAAATTTGTTGAATGGATGAATTTACTATTTAGGACCATATTTATTATGTCACTCCTGGCTGGACCAAAGCCACTTAAGAGATGATTTGTCTTTAGAGTACTGCTTTTAAATGATATCCTCAATCATTGTTTATAGAACATGTTCTTTCTGGAGTTGTAATTTATGTGATCTCTTATTTAGACCCCTTTTCAGTCAGTAGTGTATCTTTGTGAGATAGCTTCTGCAGTCCATGGCCATGGAACAGGGTTAAAGTAACTCACTTTGTAGGCACTTCTGTATCAACTAGGGGCTGGCAAACTTTTCTCTTGTAAGAACCAGACAGTAAATGTTTTAGGTGTTTCAGGCCAAATGCAGTTTCTGTTGCATAATCGTGTGTATGTGCATGCGTGTGTATGTTTTACCACCCTTTAAAAATGTAAAAACCATTCTTAGTTTCTTGCTATCCACAAATAGACTGCAGGCTGGATTTGGCCTGCTTGCCATAGTTTGCAAACTGCTGGTCTAAATCAGAGAGTTAGACTTCCATGGTCATAGGCTAATGATACATTTCTAAGCTCAGAACACCTAACTTTGACATCCGTGGTCTTTTCCCCTGATATCCTCGTCACTTCCTTGCCTTACCAACATAAGTTTCTCCTTAGGACTTTTTAGCCTCAAATAGAAGCTTTTTCTACTAATATATCCCTTGTGTTTCAGGGGCAGGAGATGGGATAGGTGTCTTTTTTGCTGTACTCTCACTTCCAAATAATTTCTTCCTTTGTTCTTTGAAGTTCTCTTATTGTCTCCCTTTCCTTATTATCTTCCCTCCCAGAAGAACCTTCTGCCCATTCATCGAAGACTTTAGCTCTTGGCTTATTTATCTTCTATTTCAATCGTTTTAGTGATCCTAGTAGCCTCGTGGATAACAGATCTAACACTGTAACTTTTAGGTTTATCAGTCTTTTTCTCTGTCTCATAAGAGGCTTCTCAGTGGTCATACCTGCCCAGATCCTTATATACACCCGAAGCTTCTCTAAACTTGACTTTGAGCCTTTCATTCTCCATTTACTGTTTTATTCTTTTCTATTGCTGAAGTTCTACACTTTTATCTCATTCTCTCATTATACATCACCCATCTCTTATCTTCAGATTCTTTCTTGTTCAGCTTAGATTCAGAGTTCATAGTTGCTTCCTTGCATATGCCCTCAATTCCTCTGCCCCCGACTTCATAGTATTTCTCTTTCGAAACTCAAACCAAGTTAGGCTCAGTTATCTGTCTCCTTCATACCCGTTTCTGGTGCAATCAGACAGACCATTTTCCAATTCATGTTTGCAAATCTCAAGTGGATTCTCAAGAGTGCTTAGCAATTTGTTTCCTTAATACATTCATTTTTCCAAATTTGAGATTTTTTTTTTTTACTACTTCATACTTTCTTGCTCGACTTTAATACTAGCCTCAACTTTCAGCTGTTACCTTTTTATGCATCATTGAGAAAACAGAAACTCATTTTCTTTTGATTTAATAGATGTAGTAGCTTTTCTCCTTTTAATGGTAAAAACTCCTACTTATAGCCTAGATCCCACTTCCCACTGTCTTCTCAGGAATGTTGATTCTCCCCCTAATGTCTCAAGCCAGAAAACTGCCTATAAGTCATCCCTGATTCTTCCCTGTGTCTCTTTAAGGCCCTCCCCTGGTCTAATTTAATTAGCGAGTATTTCTGGTTCTATTTCCAAAACAGAAAGTCAAATCAGTCCATGTCAGGCCATCTCCACCTTTCACCCTTACCTAACCCACCACGTCTTGGCTGTACCGTGTCCAGTAAATAGCTTCCTAACTGGCCTTCATGCCGCCATTCTTCCTTCACTTAATTTATTCTCCAGAGTTGTTCATGTATTTTAAAAAATGTACACTAAAATATGCTATTCCTTTGGTCAATATTGTTACAGTGTCATTCCACATTTTTAAATGTTATTTTTATTTATTTGATGGGGTATAATTTTGTTTCTAACCACTTTTTTTTTTAAAGATATTATTTTTTTAAGAGCAGTTTTAGATTTGCATCAAAATTGAGAGGTAAGTAAAACAATTTCTTATATACCCTCTGCCCCCACACATGCACAGCCTCCCCCATTATCAACATCCCCCACCAGAGTGGAACATTTGTTACAGTTGATGAATATGACAGTGACATCTATCATATTATGAATGAAATTCATGTTCCGTACCCCAGTCACGCAGGCCTTTAATAACTTGATTCCTGACTCCTCCAACCTCAGCTTGTTTCTGCCAGCCCATGGCTTATGATACATTAGGCACACTGGCCTCCGTCCGTTCCTAAAATGGCCACGGTGTTTCCTATAGTGGAACAGCTCTGTGCTAGCACCCTGATCACCTTGTGTGTGTATCCACTTAGTCCAGGCTTGGTAGCAGCTGACCTTGGCCTTTGAAGAATGCTTTGTGATCTTCCTGGAGCATGAGGATATGGGACATATGTGAGGAACTACCATAGGCCACTTCACATTTGCCTTCCGGTCCTCCAGGGAGGACCTGTGGCAGTTTGTCATTGCCTTCTGGTTTCTGATGGAGGATGAGTTTTCTACCTTACATCTCTTCAAGGTATAGCTGCAGGCTATAAAATTGTTTAGCTGCAATAGGATGCCCCAGCCCTTATGGTGCATTATCATGTCATCTGGCTGTTTTTGTGTCTTTCTTGGGGCAAGACTCATGGAAAGCGGGCACTTTTGTTCATCTTTCTTTTGCTGTATAAGCAATCGACTATCTGACCCTCACAAGGGCTCGTGGTTTCTTTACTGGCTGGATCTTGCTCGATATTTCCCATTCTGGACTTGGCACTTGTGGTTCCCTCTGCCTGTGTTGCCATCGCCCTGAGTTACAGTATCTCTCCCCACACCCTTGTTGCCTGTGGAGTCTCACAGTTCTCAGCTTTGGGATCATTAGCTGAACATGCAGTGAAAATGGTTTGTGATCCAGGCGTGTTTGTTGTCATTTGGGAGGTGGAGAAGACCGTTAAGTTCAAATATCCAATTTGGGAAGAAGAATGAGCTCATAAGATTAGCAGTCTAGTTGAAAGGCTTGTAGGCACCCTGGGCCAAGCGGTCCCTTCACCCTGAATTTTGACCCAGAAGTTGTTGGGACTTTGGAAAGGAACATTTTTCTCACTAATCATCCAATCTCTTAGATTAGAAATACATTCCAAAGTCTTTCTCTTAGTATTTATAATCTATGAAATTATCTGAATCTACTCTTATTATCTGAGTAGAAAAATCCTGTTACATTCTTTTGTATATCCAAGCTTTATTCATGAGAAAATCCTTTCTCTATATTATATCGTTTTTCTTAAAGTCTTTTTTTTTTAAACAGGGTTTGAAAATCTGTATAGATTATTTCCATTGTTTTCTCTTGTTATTGCTGGCTTTAAAATAATTAAAGATATGTTTAGACCCTGCTTAAAAACCCAGACCACTGTCAGATATGAACTCAAGCTTGTTTGAATGTTACAGATACAAATCTGGAGAAGTCCCGGTAAATTAAGCAAAAAGGATAGAAACCACAACAAAGGTATGAGTCACTTGTTTAATATACAAAGTCTTTCACAGATAATTATTTTCTTTTCCTTAATTCGTCTTAGTACACATTATTCACAAAACAGTAAATTGTTAATGCAAGAGAATTGGGTAAAACCAAAAAAGTACAAATGCTCAACCTCAAAAATTGCACAGTTAAAATTTCTCCTTGTTTGTTTTAATGCAGTATCCAATTTCAAAATGGGCTTTCTTCAGATGTGGACAAAACACTGCAGCCCAAATTAACAGTACATCCTTTCAACTGTATTGATATGTAAAATAGCACCTTTGGGCTGACTTAAGGAAAGGAAAAAGGTTTTCAGCTTTCTTAATTAAAGCGTTAAGTCCTACACAATTATCATATAACAACTACAATAATGATAAGTTTTAAGAGTACTTTGTTCCACGATATTCATTGGCCAGGCAAGGCAAACTATGTCAAGCAGATGGAATGATCTTCCTCACCTCTCCCCAACAACGGATATGATATCTGTGATGTCATTGCCCTAATAAGGAGCTAATTTTCCAAAGAGTAGCTGTTATAGGGGTGTGTCGCAAAACAAGATAAATGTAACCATGAGGCCATCTCACTGGGACAAGAATCACATGTAACAGCAGCTCAGTGAGACTTTTAATTCTGGGGCATTTTGAAAGACTTCTTCCATACATACCTATCTTCCTTTAGTTTCTCCATTGCTGTATCGTAGGTTGATGGGATCATTTTTGTTTTGATTTTTTTTTTCATTTTTGTTTTGTTTGTGTTTATACTTAAGCTTCATTGCTTTTGGGGCTTCACTTAAAAAAAAAAAACCTTTGAGTTTCATTCTTTTACAATTTAATCTTTAATTCTATACAATAAAAGTGACAGTTCTTTAAAAAATGAACAGCATAACTGTTGTGGTTTATGGTACTGATAAAACTCGAGAATCGTGATTATAAAAAGCCAAAGTTTTTAACAGAACTGTAAGTTCATTCTTCAATTTCAGTCCTTTGTTTCAATCCATTTTACTTCCTAAGTGAGCAGGTAAACATGCTTCAAAAAAGTCATTCTTTCTTTTTGAAAGGTATATCCAGTCCACAAAAGCATTGTCACAAAGCCAAATCCTTTAACTGAAAGGGCAAATGTACTATTGCCACATAGACTATAAGAAGAAAATAACCTTAGGTTTTAAGTGCATGTAATAATTTAAATTAAACCATAAGGAGCCATTGCAGGACAACTTTTTAAAAGATTTACATTCGGGAGTTCAGGGTTTAAAAAGGTCAGAAGAATAGCAGAATAAAATGTTGACTTTTATACTGCTAGGGAGCTATATTTTCTCATTCAAGAAAGTCAAAGCCTATACAAGTTAACTTTGAGAATGGTTTTAAAACACCATGTCTTCTTTTATTGATAATACTGTAATGCTTACCTTTACTTTTCACTTTAGAAATGTTTTCTTAGTGTTTTCTTAGTCCTAATAAATGAGGCCTGTTTTAGCCAATCGTCTCCCACTGTGAAATGAGCTATACACTTATCTTGCTTAGGTTTGTACAGAATTTAAACAGTATTTTTGGTAGTAATTAAGGTAAATAGTCCTTTTCCTTCCAGAGCAAACAAAAGGGAAATCAACATTTCTTTTTTTTACTGGTGACTAGATTATTTCCCCCCAGGAATATTTGTAAACACCATGTTGCCATTGCTAAACCATGGGAAAAATGGATTAGTAAAAAGCCTAGGAAAATTAACAGATAAATTGAATCAAGGGTAAATCCCTTGGGTGAGGTGCCATTTCAGTTTGTTTAAGGTTTATATTTTTTATTTTATCACTTACGTCCTTATTTGGACAGAAATTTTGGTCCAGTTAGTTACCTTTAGAAAAAACGTTGTTTTCCCTGTGCCTTTATTGTCCCTACAATAAGTTTTAAGAAAGATGAGTTTTAAACCTTTTGTTTCCTGACTGATGGGAAACCTTAACGTTTTCCTCATGTACATACTTGAACACACACACACATGCCACACACACACACACACACACAGAATTGACATTATTAATCTTTATTTCGAGGATTCGGGATTATTTGGACTCAGTGTCATCCACTACTAACATTCATATCATCTTTCTCCTCATTAAAAGGCTATTTCTTTTTCCCTTTTCCTATGATAATCTGTGAAGAACAAGCACATGGATAATTACAAAGTGCATCGATGTGATACCCAGACTTGTGCAATGCAATACCCATGCTTTGGTTCTTATGGCCATCATGGTTGCCTTTTCACAATAATAAATATGACAGCTAACAAAAATAAAACACCTTTTTTTTTTTTAATGTAAGACATCTTTCTTTGACAGGCCACTATATCTATAATCATTAATATAGCTCACTGCAATATCATTCACGCTTCAGTTTTACATGAATATGCAAAGGACACAATAATCAACCAAACTGTCAAATCTAAACAACTCAATTTATTACTAATCACAGAACCTGTGGAATATGTTTGCTTCCCAGCTGAGCAAGGGAAATACTGTCAGCTTTTAAAAATAGAGTCTAAATGCTTAACTACTCATCTGTCAAGTTGACACCTCGTATAGATTTTTTAAAGAAGCCTTACACATTCGACTTAATAACAAAAATATTTTTTATTTTTCCTATCATAAGTGCTTCGTTGTAGCAAACAAGTTAAATGTCGAGACTTTGCCACAAGCAGATTGTTTTACCTTTATATATGTTTGTTTTTTCACCCTTTAGTGAAATAGTAACTTCATCTAACTCTTAAACCAGGATATTTACTTTGACTAATTTAGTGCTTCGTAAAATTATAACATTTGTGGGACTTTGAATAAAAGAATGAATTAAGCTACTGTTTTGAAATATTCAACTGTTAAATGAAGCAGAGGCTCTGTCTCTAATTTTAGGGCTGTGTCACTCAATATAGTTAATTCAAATTGAGATATGCTGTAAGGATAAAACACATAGTGGCTTTTGAAGACTTAGTCATAAAAAAATATAAAATATCTCAATTTTTAATATTGATGACATATTGAAATAACTTGGATATATTGTGTTAAATAGAATATATCAAAGTTAATTTCACCTGTTTATTTTTACTTTTTTCTAATGGGGCTACTAGAAATTTAAAATTTACATATGTGGCCTGAATTTTAGCTCACATTATATTTCTGTTAGACAACACTGTTTTAGAGGGTCTAGATAAAATATGGGACCTGATAATTGATTACAACTTCTGTGTGTATTTAACAGAGCTAATTAACCTCAAAAAAACTCTGAAAATATTTTTTTCATGATTTAAACATAATTCCAAATATTAATAGCTTCAAATGTGTACTGTATCTGTTTTTAAAACATGCATCTGTCAAAACAACTGGACTCCACCATAGCCATAAAAATCTGTTATCTGTCAAAGTGACTATCAAAAGATGCATCCTCCAAGTGTGCTTCTGATGTGCCTTAGGGCTAATGCGGACAATTTCAAGCTTAAAAACAAATGTATTTGTTATTTCCAGATGAGATAGTTAACATGACGAGGCCCTAGAAGAAATACACATTGCAATTCAAGTCTGTATTCTTAAACTTTCCCTGCTACCGTGAAGACTCATGTGTCCATTGTAGTCTGATGGTGAACATCGCCTAAAAGTATTCCTTACTCCAGGGGTTTTTAATTGTTTTAGAAATTACTCTTTAGCAAGCTTTTCACATCTCCATCTCACATTTTAGACTCTGTTTCATGGGATCCTGGTCATGTGATGTCCTTTCCTCCTCTCCTTTTTGAGTAAAGTAAGGGAAAACGAGTCCGTAAGGAGGAAGGGGAGAAGATAAAGAAAGTGATTAATTCGGGATCACTTCTGACATTTGTAGTGGCTGAGGGCTGAAAAGATTCTTCAGTGAAGAACTTCCCACCTGTCTCCATCACACCGGTATACCTTCAGGGGGGCTGCCTTCTGCAGATGGCAGTGAATTTGGACCCGTTTGTAATACAGGCACTACCACAGCATCCTTGATGTCCGTGTTTATGTTACACGAGAAGTTCTTCTCCTGCTTTTTGGCAGTGTCTGGGCAATTCTGCACGAAGATCACACGGTTGTAGGCCTTCAACCTGCGCCACAGCTGAACGTAGGCTTTACACTGTACATACATGAAGACGAGACCTCCTGTGAAGCCGATGGCCACCACAACCAGTTTTGTCCAAAATGGCCATTCAAGGATGCCTTAGAAATAAAAAAGAGAGAATGCTATCACAAGTTGTCATCAGTGGATTTGGTATTTTTTTTCCTATGGCTCCTTCAAAAGGCCACGCCTGCCTGCTAAATTTTGTGGATAAGAATTATAACCTGAATTGCTTAATTGCTTTCAAATATTCTAAAGGTACTTTTAAAACTGTATATGAAAAAATTCTCTTACCTACCCCTGTAATGACTTCTCTTATTTCTCCTTCTAGTATCAAGTACCCTCTATGATTATCAAATACTACATTTGACTTTTGAGACTTAGACATTTATTCCTTGTAGCTAAATCATTAAGGAAGGATAATGAACATACTAAGTGAAAGAATCAGAATTTAAAATCCTTTTAAGAAGGCAGACTAATAGATAAATATATAGGATTGTATATACAGGTCTCCGCACCACGCTCATTCCCTTTAAAAATAATTTTTAAAAATGAAAAAGAAGTTAACACATCTCACCAGAGGAGCAAATTTCTGAGTACAGACATGCATGTGATTTAGGATTTTAGTCATTTGTTTCGTAAATTTTATATTTTGTTACTGAGAACCATCACTTAATTTTTTTCCCCAATATAGTCAAAATAGTATCATTTAAACATGTAATTGATACAAAGATGATTAATGTGATGGTTTTTATATAGCAAGAGAGCATCCCTTAAAAATGGAGGTGATAGTAGTATTTACCTCACAGGTGGTTCGTATGGATTAAATGAATTAATAGCTCTGGACACAGAAAGGGCTATAAAAAATGTCAATTTTTATTGTTGCCACCTGAGAGATTTAAAAGCTACACATCTTCGGCTGATTGAGATGCAGATTAATAGCAACACTCTCGAGCCTACAAGGAAGACTTTTCTAACTTCTTTGGGCTTCGGCCTTTGGAGGTCACACCTGGACTCCAGGCAATGGATACCTCAGGGATCTGGATGAGGGGACAGTCGGGTTAGCTGCTCGCCAGGCCTCAGCACTACACCGCCTCACCCACTCCCCTGGGCATCCCCTGCAATTGTAATTCCTTTTGCGAGGAAAAGCTCAGAAATGTCACCAAAAATGAACTAAAAGGTCCTGAAATGCTTAAGTGGCTACTGTGTACTGAATTTTCTAGGAAACATTTATGCCAAACTTTAAGACCGTGATGGCAGTGGCTTGTAAGCTGGGATGTATCTACTGGCCCTTTTTGGACTCATTTACTTTCCAGCAATATTGTTTCTCCGAAAATATATTTCCTGGGTAATAGAATAGGATCCCTGTCCCTCTTCGCCTGAGGCACACATTCTGAGTCTCCTGTGACATCTGGCTTCTTTGTTTTCTCTTTAGTCAAACTGGGTAAAGTACATGCTCCCAGGCTGGTGAGTGTAGATAGCTGCAGAGGAGGCAAATTACTTATTTCTTCGCCTTTAAAACAGTGATCTTTAAGGTCTCTTCCGGCTTTTAAATTCGAATTCCCCAAGTATTCTGCATATGTTAGGTAGCGGATCACGTGATGGGAGGCACCTGGAGTATGTCTAAAAAGCCTTTCTAAAACCCCAATGGAAGAGAACCTGCCTCCTTTAACAGCGGCAGGGACCATGTATAGCTATCAAAAGCATCTCATTGGTAATTTGGGATATTTCCGGCTGGGTGCGTAGGTTATACAGTTACAAATCCTGTTCGTGTAAGGGTCTGTGTCAGTGGTAGGACTGGGAGGCGGTTTTCTCCTGTTGTCTTGGTTGCTTCTCTACAGTTGGATAAATTATTTTTAAAAGCTCACATACTTATTACCTTTTCTTTAACTTTTATAAATGGTAATATTCACTGTGAGTAAAACATCTTATGATAAATGTGCGGTATTACGTAAATACTGTTTTATCCGATGTGAGGTCAAGTTCATGGTGTCTTTGAAAAATGAAGCATAAACACAAACTTTGGAGGACATTCAGGACAACTTAGTTTTACAAATGAAAAAACTGAGCTTCAGAGTGATGAATTATTTTATTCAAGATAACTAGCCAGTGACCAAGGCAGAACTAGAACCCTGGCCTTCTGACAGCTAGCCTAAGTCCGTGTTTAACAATAATAGCCCATGTAGTTACTTTTAAAAAGGGTTTAAACAATGATGCAGAAGAGGAAAATATTATATAGATTGCAGGGAAGTGATTTTTAACATATCCTTTAAGCAGATGTTAACCAACGAGCTTTGCAGCCACAATTATGTGCTGGACTTGGCCACGGCCAGCAACCATTTTGGAGCCTTAACTCATACCAAGTGCTCTATGAGTAATGAAGCTCGGCCCTTGCCCTGGAGATACTGAGTCTTACAAGTGAGTCAGGCATGAAAGAAACAAATCAATCCGTTATGCTAGTCCCTTGAGGTGTGAACACTTCAATAATCCTAGAGCAACATCTGCAGCTACAATCTTTTTAACAGGTAGTATAAAATTGTTGTTGTTTTCTTAGTCTGTAGTTTTGTGTTTTGTTTTCAACACACAAGTAGTATACTGGAGCATTCTAGAATATGTAAAGATAAGGCAGGAAGAGGAATTGTTCCCCCAGAGTAGAATTGATAACATGGGTAATTCAGGATGATAAAATTTCAAGTACTGTGTATTTAAAAAAAAATTTTTTTTTTTTATCGGGTTACAGAAAGAGAGCGAGGTGAGAGAGCTAGCAGGGGCATCATGCATATTTAATTTAAAAGAACAACCATTTAAAAACATGAAGGATTTCTTTTTTCCTTCCAGGATTGTTATTACAGTTCAGAAGATTTTGCTGTTTTATATTCAACCTCAATTCTGCTTGAAGAAGGACAATTTGTTCCTCTTCAAATATTTTTGAAGGTTTTCAAGATGGATTTCAAATATTTTGACTTTTAAATTATGCAGTTAAAAAAAAACTTTGAAAGTAAATTCAAGATCAGCGCTCACAAATGCCAAAGGAAGATGACAATAATAACGTATACAAATGGCCACACTACCCATAACGTATACTTTGGGAAGTCAGGTTTTAAATACAATTTGAACATTAGTAGGGATGACGCCCTTTACAAAAGTCACTATGGTTTCCTTTTGAAATTACACGCTTGCTGTCCCACCAGCAAGCAGATCTGCTTCTCGATGAATATCTTGCTTCCTAATTCAAAAGCTCTGAACATTAAAAATAATAGTTACTTATTTTTTACTTGCTTTTAAGAAACTGAAAATAATTTTTAAAAGTATATACTAGAAAGCTGCCCCTTGACTGTGTGTATGTGTGTGTGTGCGCGCGCGTGTACCTTTAATTATCATCCAAGCTTTTTCTACTGGGAAATCTAAGAGACCCGAGTGACAGTCCACTGGGAGACTGCGGTCTGAAATCCTGCTTCTACCAAGAAATAAAACAATTTTTGAAGAAAGTATTTAAAAGAAAGATAAATGGTGGACAAGCTTGAGTACGAGGTATTTACACTTCATCATCCCTTTTACAACACTGACTGGGCTACTTTCCAGGACCCAGACACCAGGGATGTGCTCAGCACCAGAGATGCGCCGGTGAGCAAGACAGACACAGCCGAACCTGCTCGGAGCTCAGGAGTTAGTGGCGAGGGAAGATAGACAATTAAATGAGCAATTACAATTATGTGTCCCAGTGGGGCAGAGCTTCTCAGCATGACTGTGCAACAGAATCACGTGTTGGGGATACTGAAACCTCTGAGGATAAAGCTCAAGCTTTGCAGTGGTATGGAAACTCCACAGGTAATGCGAATCTGCAATCGAGGTGGCGTAAGGGCACAATGCTGCGGGAACACGTGGCTCTCCACACTTCGAGGGCCTTGGAATCACCTGTGGGCTTCTAAAGCATAACTTGCTGGGCTCCACCCTCAGAATTTCTAATTAATAGATCTGGGGCAAAGAGAGGCCCAGAATCTGCATTTCTCCAACAAGTGCCCAGGTGATGGTGACGCTGTTGGTCCAGGGACAGCATTTAGAGAACCACTGTGGTCATAACAATTATTCTAGCTCAGGGAGCTGAGCTAGGTTTCCTAGAGGGAGTGAAGCTTAAGGTGAACTGCAAAGTCTGGGGGTGTAGGGAGCGGTGTGGCAGTGTGTGAGTGTTTAAGTGAGTACGGAGGTGGACATGAGAAGCTGGGAGGAAATGTTTTGTGTAAAGAGAAAAGCTGAGCAAGGGTCCGGAAGTAGATCTGGGGAGCTGACGGATGTTAAGCATAATTGGCCACAGCTAGGTCACGGGGTGGGGCAGGTGGTTCCATTAAAGAGTTTGGGTATATTTTTAGAGTAATGGCTAATTAAGGAAAGGATGTGATCAGATTTGTATTTTGTAAATTTGCTGTGGGCACATTATTGAGCATGGGTTGAAAATGGGCAAAACTAGAGCAAGGCTAGTTAAAAAGCTGCTGCAGTTTTCAAGTAAAAGATGTGACAGTTTGCACAGGGCTGTTGGCAGTGGGGAAGGAGAGAAATGGACAGATTCCAGAGGCATGTGAGGCAGAATAAATAGGATCTGGTGATTGACTTATGGCAGAAGTGAAGGAGAGGAAGGAGATGAATGAAAGTGGAATTGGCTAGTGAGAGTTAGTAATGCCTTTCCCACAGGTATTAGAGGGTAAGTGGTAGCAGATGATCAGTTTGGTGTCTGGAAGACCTTTCAATGGAGACATTTAGGAGGTAGGTAGATGCATGATTGGAGTGCAATATGAGCTGCAGATAAATTCTTTTGAGGGGTTATCAGCATAGAAATGACAACTGAAGATATAAGGATATCCAGGGGGACCAGAGATTGATCAGGCAGAGTGAGATAAATGGGACGAAGCATGGGGCCATTGGTTTCCCGGGTTCTGGAGAGACGCTGGTGGCTGAAGTTGAGATCATCAGGTTCATTGTGGAATAAATGATCATATCCACTCCCCTGTCTCAGAAGTAGCATTGAGTAAATCAATGTGTGAGAGAAGTTCTGACCTGTCTGCATATGAAAGACATGAGATTGCTTCTTCTTGTTATGTCTAGGAGAGGTGCCCTTAAATCTTTCCCTCACATGTGGCTAAAGGAGAACAGAAAGAGCCCTGCAGACTCATAGAGCAAGACCGAGTCAGGAGGACCCCTGGGAGAGGCAGATTCATGATTCTCACTGAACTCCAAGTCAGACAGCTATGAATATTAAGTAAGTCTCTGCCCTGGATTGCTAGAAAAACGCTTGAGTCGTGAGGTCGTACGCTGGGTACAGTACGGTGGGGATGGTGGTGGAAGGCCTCTTTGTTTTCCCATACATACACTATCGCAGCGTTTCTGTCACCCTGTTACGTGGCTCGGGCCAGTGCCTGTAAATATAGGGGACATGGATTTTATTTTGAAATCTCCTACCCTCTAGGAAATTATTTAATAGGTATCTAATAGACATTTTAAAATCCAGCATCTCAGGAATAATGCATAATATAGTTGTAAACAATGTAGTTTGATATGTTATATTAAAATTAGTTAAGAATGAACCAAAAAACAAAATTTCACCCTACCTGTTTCTCTAGCGACAGTGCTTTCATTCTCTTTCTGAAGAGGTCAGTAGGATCTGTAACTCTGCCACCCTCCCATCCCCCACCCCCAACACACACACTTAAACGGCATAAGCCATATCCCAGTGCATCTGGAGAGTCCCCACAGCCCCTTGTTTTCGCCCAGGTCCCTTTCCGCTTCTAGAATGCCCGTGCGCACTGCTGCCACCATGAGGGCAAACGTGAGAATGCAACTCCCCTTCTGCTGTTAAGAATCTCCCCAAATACAGAAATAACAAAGCCTTCCTTTTAAAAATTCTTTTGCTTTTTCCTTCTTTTCTTTACTTCCTCTTATTATTTTCCTGCTTTCATTTTTTTTTTTTTTTAGGAAAGCACAAAGACACGCTCATAACACTACCAACTTACAGTTATCATCTGAACGATCTCTCCTTTCAAACTCACCACGGGTTTAAGATTGTGCCCCCCTCAAGGGGTGCGTGGAGGGGGGTTTAGAAGAATATTTCTCACTGCTTTACCATCTATGATTTAGGCTATATGCTAAAGCTGTTAGAGCCTGATTAAAAATAGAGCTAAGTACCTTCAAGAGTGAAGATAATCTATTTCAAATGACCTATCCATTTGAAATATTAGAATATGCCTTAATGATTTTTAAACACCTTTCTTGGCAAACTCAATACCATCCTTCACAATCAAACTCAGCACATTTAAAATTTCAAACCATAGTGTTAATCCACTCTATCAAATTATATAGTATTAATTAATAAGCTACAACATTCTTTACTAGACTTTCACCTTATTCATGTTTTAAGAGAAGCATGACTGGGTAAATAAAATGAAAATCTGATCCTTATTCAGCTCCTGAAAAGCCTGGAGAGGTGAATGACATGTATATATTTCTTCCGACTAAGGTTTACATGGACTTGACAATCTCACGTCTCAGCTTGAGACCCCATATATAATCCGATTAATAATCAATAGCATAACTGGAGAAGACTCGATTGCTAGTAGTGGTTTTTGCTAGTGCACCATACATGAAGATCTAAACTGGGGCAGTGGCTTCCCCACCCAGCTCTGGGTGTCGTCACAGAATCTAAAAGAGAAAAAGAGGAAAGAGACGTGCACTTACCATTATCATTGCCTTGTCTGATTTCCTCTGCAGTCCGATCTATTAATACATACAAAGACCAAACCACACAGGTGATTGCGATGACGTGGAATGTGACAGAGCAGAATATCTTCCTTCTTTCACTAGAGGTCATCTGTAGTTTCTCCCACTGCAATTATAAATGAATCACACAAAACTGAATTTCTAGCTAGGACATTTTGCCCCTCATTTAAATCTCAGACACAGGAAAAACATTAAGTATTTGAAATTTCAGATGACACTATAATATTCAAATATAAGTCTTCATGTTTAGAAGGAAATGAAATCATAACCTGTGTAGCTATATAACTGAAATAAATATATTAAGGTGAAAACAAAAATATTTTCCTATTTCCAAGTGAATTATATCAAGTTATTTCTGTTTTGCTAGCCTGTAGTTACCTTATCATGAATGGGATAGTTTTAATATTGTACAATTTTTAGAAAATATTTCCTTTCAGGTTTCTGCATTTCACTCTTTATGGTACCAGGTTATAAACAGTCAGAAGTAATCTCATTTTGGATTAATACATAGCCTGATATAGTGTTGCATTTTTGAATGTATCACTCTAACCAAGTATTTGAATGGCTGGATGACATCTGTGAGGGAAAGTTGGCATAGGTTCACACACAACTCTTCTAGGAAACACATTCATCTGGGCATGGGAGAAAATCAGCTGAGACCCCTTTTAGTGCAATCTTGATTTGCTGCTGCTGCTGCTACTATCACAACGATTGTCCCTTAGTCACGTTTTTCAGAAGGCTGCTCCCTCAAGTCAGAGAGGAAGAGGGCTACAGTTTTTATAGTCATACATTAAGGTTTAATTGAGGGAGTGTGTTCATCATTAACAATGAAGAAATAGATTCCCAAATGAAATCTTATTGCTTTGACACCTAGAGTATCACTTCGTTTCTGTGTTAAGAATTGTCTTTATTTTTCTTTGTATATTTCTATAGGAAAATCAAATTGCTATGACCTAATTAGAGGTGAACTGATGTGCCAAGCTTTCAATAATCCATGATTCTTTACATTCTTTACTTATTTTGCACTTCTTTCCCACTCCTACATATCATTCCAAGCACAACTCAGTTGAAAACAAGTGGGCACACATTAGGCTCCATAAAATACTGGCTCTGTCACCAACTCTGAGACATGGGTGAAGTCGTTTAATCTCTCCAGGCCCACTTGCCTCAGCCTAAGACGCAAATTGTGGCAGAGGCTGTGACAGAGAGGTTTGGGAAGAAGATGCCATTCTTTTTTTTTTCTTTATTAACAGACTAGTTAATTCTATGAGAATTCGTTGTGCCAGCTAAAAGCTGCTTTCCAACCTTCCTTGGCAGAAGTGGACATTGGCTGTTTTCCACTCAAGAGATATGAGTGACTATGTGGGATATCGACTTTTTGATCTACTGACCCAGGAATTACCCCTTCTTCCTTTCCTTCATTGTCTCTTCTTGCTACCTGGGATTCATAACAGTAAGAGTACCAACAATCATCTTCAAGGAATCTTGAGGAAAAGTCTTGAGAATTGGAGAGACCACGGCCTGAAGAGCAGCAGCTTACCTCGGGATGCCCATGTACACGCAAGGAAAATAAAGCCCTGTCTGGGTAAGCCATTATCTTTCAGGACTCTGCTACTCGCTACCAAACGCGATTCCTGATGAAAGAATCAAATAGATACTTCCTAACTTCCCTTCCAGCATGAAGATTAAGATCCTACGATTTCATATGTAACAGCCCTTAAAGTCTGATCATGATGCTCCAGCAATCTTCTTGAACATTTTAGAGGCATACATGTTTTATTTGCAAACATCATCTGTTTCTCTCGTCTTGCTGGCCAGTCATCACATAGTTTTCCATATAAAGGTCTATTAGAATCAAGTAACAATTCATATTTCATCTTGTACTTTCTTTTTCATCACACTACATAATATATATTATTCCAAGTAAATAATGGAGACATCTTAGTAATGTGACCAGGGGTTTCTGTCTAGAATCTATTTTTAATTAACTGATATTAAATTGAGAAGATTTTAGTATGTGTATCTTGGTTTTAATCAAAATTTCACATCATATCTGTGAAAGATGTCTTTTTAAAATTTTGTTTTGTTATTGATTTATTGTAATGTTAATTTGAATAATCTGTATAATTTAAAACAGAATATTATCATTTGGTAATGCCATTTTGTGATTTTATAACTGTTTCTTGAATTACCTCAATATTCAATATGACCAAATAAAAAATATAGGATGGTGCAGAAAATACAACTTTACATGTTCAAATTTCCTAAATGTTCTAAATAGATGAAAATACCTCCAATAACAAAATTTCATACCAAATCAACCCTCCACTGTAAAACTAGCTTTTAAAAAAGCTATTAAAAATGGGGTCTTCTTAAATCTAAGGAGCATATCGATTGATGCACTGGCTGAAACACATTCTTCAAAATTAATGAGCCTCAAATAGAAAAGTATCAATGAGGCTGACAGGGATGGACCGAATCAAATAGACTCCTTCTAGTTCCAGACAATAGAAGCTCTGAAGTTGTCACTTTCTAATCTCAAAATTTTAAAAATAAATAAAGTGTAAAAAGACCATGAAAATTTCCCACCTTCCTTTATAAATCCTTAAGGGACTATTCAGGAATTCACTAGCCCGCACACAGGTACATGTAATACAACAGCGCCCCCTTCCGCATGATTACAGTTCTGCGTGCAGTAGTCAGCACAAGGCATCACCAGAAATCTGTGTAGTTTATATGATATTCATCCATATCCTTGTATTTTCAAGTTTATATACAAAGTTTGAATAAGCTCTGCAAGCCTTCACAGTGAGCAATGCATCGAGAAGGCAAGGGTAGAAATTTTATTTTAACAAAGCTGTTAACAAAAAAGCCTTAGTTTAATATTTGGGATGCTGAAATTCAGTACCAGCCCGCTAAAGATTTTGTGATAGGAAAGTGCTAATCTGTCCAGTTTTATAAAATAATATGTGTATAATGTTCACTACTGTGACCCTTCTGGGAGGGGGATACTAGAGAGAAGCCTCTTGGGTCTTTACTGTGGCCCCCTGCTCAGCGGCAGCTTCACCTGGTACCTGTGAGAGATGCAAATTCTCACACTCCACTTTTGAGGTGACTCTCTGTTGGCTTCACTCCGTTCCTGACAGCTCTCTGCCAGTGTAGCAGCCTCATGTTCGCTGTGCCACCCACAGAGGGGCAGGGCCACAACTCTCCTCTTTAGATTATTTAGGCCTGAGACAACTATTCACCCTAAATCCTTCAGTTCTAAGGTGACACATGTCTCTCCAATTGGTCTCAGTGAAGCTGGTGGAAATGCTAAAACAGCAACTCCCTTCCCCAAGGGGCAGGGGAAAACCATGTACCACAGCACGTCACCCAGCTTTTGACAACTCTTTACACTACTAACTCCCCCAGCTGCCTCTTGTCACCCTTCAAATTCATTTACACCTTCAAAATGGGGGATAAGCTAAGGTTGACAAAACCACTTTCACGAAATCCTCCTACATAGGTGGTCTTGGACCTTGCTGTAGGCTTTATAATTGCTGAGTCTTTGATACCTGTTTTATTGTTCTTGGCCTTTGGTCCCATGCTGAACCTCCCCACCTTCCACCCCCTAGATTAGAAAAAATTGAACAGAACTCTATTATTCACTTAGAAACATGCTACTGAATATTTCTGAAAAGACTTCTGCATTGGAGTATAAATTGATGCAAACATTGTTTCTGTGAAATTTTCCATTTGTTTTAGCTAAATGAAATTGTTCAGGTTTTCTAATTTAAATTACTTGTATTCATATTCTGTACTAAAATATAAATTCAAAAATACTGCCTAAAAAGAATGTTTTTCTAATCTTTGTACCAGTGAAGAATAAAGGCAGTTTATTTGCACAAAATCAAAATACACGAGATAGGGACTACTTTACTGAATCCCTTGCCTTTTCTTCCTTGACACAGGTGCACAATGTAGTTCTGTTTTCTGAACCAGAAGAACCAGAATTATCTACATAGTGCTAGAGTAAACAAAAACAAATTCCACCAGGTGGCGCCAAGCCCAAACTGTTGCTAATAGAAAGAAGGATTTTTTTTTTTTTTTCACGAACAACTGGACCCAGGAGCTCCCAGCCAGCTGGTCAGTCATCAACACACAAAATTGCAAAACCACATTTTAACTGTTTAAAATTTTCTGACCCTCCTTGCTTATCACATTTGATGGAGTTTTACTGCGCACGAGTGACAATAGTACCCAGAACAGCAAGTCTAGACTTCATTACCTTACCTGCATGCTTTAGTAAGATATATTGTGCTAGAGGAGAGCAAATAAACTCAGCAAAAGTAATGGGGCTTACAAAATCAGTGAAGTTTCTAGAGGGCTCATTTACAGGCTTAGAGTTGGGTTCGTTCACGTAGGTCTGGAAAGTGGTTCTTAAAGAACGTTCCCCACAACCAGGAGCATCAATGAGTCTCGTTAGTGTTAATTAAACAAGGCCATTGGGCTGAAGTGGCCCTAATGCCAGGGTAGCCTATATAAGCAAACTCAACTCTAAGACTGTAAATTCCTGCAGGTCTGGAAATCGAAACCTAAGGATCACCAATCACGAACAGGCTTTAAGCTGTAGCCATCAAATAATTGCTTTGCTTCTGCACTTTCTCCATATGTCTTCCCCCTCGCTCTTGTGGGTGGAGCCCTCCTAACTGCTTCCGGTTTGGCACTGTCTGGGTTCCAATGGATTATTGCTCAAATAAACTCTTAAACAATATAATATGCCTTAGTTTCTCTTTTAATAGGAATGTGATTATTTGGGGCCCCACATCACACTTACTGAATCAGAAACTCTGGTGGCCAGGCCATGCAATCTGCATTTTAACTAGCCCTCAGGTGATTCTGAGGCAACCACCTGCCTAATGAATGATGCTTGGCAGAGTTGTATGTTGACATCAATGGAGTCTGTATTAGAAGTAGCATTTGTCACTTTCTGACATAAACTAAGCAGTAGTCCAGGGAAGGAAAGTCAATGAACCAGTTTGATTACCCAGCTGTGATGTTAATATTTCAGGTTGAGAGAGAAAAAAAAAAAGAAAAAATCATAAAATCAGTGAATTTGTTTGA